GAGGTGTAGTTTCTTCAAGCCCTTAACCTCCTGGCAACCAGCTCACCTGTCAGTTAACTCAGCCACGCACCCCTTGTTATTTAAATGTGTAAATCCTAGCATTATTATAATCAAAACATGTGAGTAATAGAAGTGTACAGTTAAACCAATAAAGAAGTTAGCTATATGGACTAAACCAGTTGTTGTACCAGACTGTGAACAGCTTCTTTTTCTTTTTTTTTAAATTGACATTTTCATATGGCTCTGAGAGATCCCTTGAGTGGAGGTACAGAAGCATTTGGCACCCATGCTTCTTTTTTCAATACAAGAGGTTTCTGCTTTTCTCTACATATGTTATTCTGAAAAAAAATATCTTTTGAGAGTTATGACAGTTGAGCTAACCTGTCAAATAGATGAAGGACCAATCTATGACACAATTAGGCAGAATATGAACTTGAAACAAACTTTGCTACAAATTTAAATTGAATAAATAACCCTTCAAAACTCTCTCTTAAGAATGGACCCATCCATTCAAAAACAACTCAGAGTGTTTGTGGCATAACAATAATGAGAGTGATTCAGAATCAGGGCTAATTCTGTCTGGTTAGAGTACAGGTGAATAGTCATATAATTGATTAATTGGCATGAGCGCTGAATCATAATTCCAGATGTCTGCAATTTACTGTTCCCAGTAGAGCTTCTGTTGTTGTGAAATTGCAGATGCTGCATGCGGGACATAAAGTGCTTGCTAAAATATGACCTTATTGCACATCATAATTGTGGTTAGAAATGTCTTAATTACGTTCTATTTTTATCATAATGCACATCGTTATTGTTCCCTTGCTGAAACAAGACTTGGTTTTCTTGGTATTTTGTGCACGCCAACAGCTGCTGCAGTAAACTTTTTTCAGTGAAGAGCAAACATTGTAGCTTGCAGCGGCAACACGTCACATAAAAACATAACAGAGTAAGACATGACAATAGTTAGGATGGTTTCCTGTGTGTGTGTGTGTGTGTGTGTGTGTGTGTGTGTGTGTGTGTGTGTGTGTGTGTGTGTGTGAAATTTTTCCCTTTTCATTTCTATTACAGTTTGCTCTTGTCATACCCTCAAGGCCAGCCAGTTTTAATTAATCTTTGCTCTTATTTTGACCATGTGTCGTCGGTGTACTTCCGAGGAGAATCCTTGGAAATAACGTTAATTGGCATTAAATTAATATCAACACTGAAGCTCACTGAAGTAATTCAAAACTGCTTTAATGTCCAGGCATTGAAACTTTCAAATCACTCGTCTAGCTGAACCTTTTGACAGTGCAACCCCTTGCTTCAAGAAGAAAGTCTGGAAGGGAACTAATTGTGAATTATGTTTATAATGAATACAGTGATTTAATTTTCTAGATATGTGTCAGGCCAGTTCAAAAAACGACTTATTTGTGAAGGGTTAAATCCTTGTTTAATAATAAAAACACAACCCTGCTGGGAAATCTGTGGACCTCAAGTTGTTGCATGAAGACAATATTCAACATGACTGTGAGAGAAAGCGTCAAGGTTTTTACTTTTCTTATAATATCTTTAAAGATGCTCCTTCTCCCTCGTCTTCCATTATGTCTTTGTCTCCGTCTGTAGCTTTAAGCTTTTGGGGGCCAAAGTTAACGATTTTGATTCATTGTGTTCTATATTGATTCACTAATCAATGATCTTAAGATGCTCCGAAGCTTCAATTGTTTTTTTATTTTCCAGCAATTTCACAAGGATAATCTCATGAGTCACACAGAATGCTAAACACAATCCAGTAGGGAAATTCTCAAATCGTCACATAATTCCCGGGAAATGTCAATTTCCACCTTTCAAAGTTCCTATAAATTTCCCCCCAAAAAACCCCCTAATTTAAAAATTAAAACAATTTTAAAAGACTTTCCCGAAAAGAGTGATAAAAGCTACTTAAAACGCTTTGAGAAACACTAAAAGAGTTTAGCATCCGAATCAAATGAATTCTCTGTTGACCCCTTTTCAGTATTGACTCAGTGTTTCCAGAAAACTTGAGTTCAGAATCGAACAGTGTTCCCATGTATTTATATGAGATGAAGATGATGATGATGATGAAGTTGATGATGCTGATTGCAAAGATTATGATGACAGTTCCCAGGTGTTAGTTAAAACTGTGAGACAGTGTGTGAAGAGGAATGATGCCGCTCAAAGGTATGTGTGGGTGCTCAGTTAACTGATCAGTCAAGCTTCTTTTACCCATCCCCACACACATGCACATTCACACACTTATACACGCACAATATGTCCTTGCCAATCAGAGGAATGTCAACCTGTAAAACCTGCACAAGATTACAGGATTACCATTGATATCACATGAAGAGGGCAATCAGCTCATCCTGACTACCTTTCTATTACAGCCTGCTGCTCATGGAGCTTTGTCAAGAGACCAATCACATTGTAAATGAATATAATCAAAACAGCTAAACGAGGAGATATCTGTCGCAAGCCCTCTTTGATCTCCTGTCTCTGATTGTTTGTTGACAATAAATCTGTGTATGTGTAATGGCATAGGAAAAACGTCACCTGTTTGAACTGGATCAAAAAGAATCAGTAGCCATGAAATGGTGAGCACTTTATTTTATTTAAAATAATTACATGATTGAAGAAAATATTTTATCTGTGAAACACACCATGTAAGGTTTCAGTTTAGGCACAACGTCTGATGAGGTTTCCTACGCTTAATGGAACAAAATGAAATATCACCTTTGTTACAAACTGAAGGCAAAGAAGTCCCTAAATCAATTTAATGTAGATCAATATAAACCATTATATTTTATTTTTCTGATTTAAACTGATGGGGATCACAAAAAGATTAACCTAAAAGTTTCCATTTCTCCCCTTTTTTCAGCACTTCTTTGTATCTTCTTTGCAACTCTATAACTCTTTGTGACATTTTCAACCCAGTCTGTTGGTATTTGAATCAACATGTTTTTTTTTTATGCAGGGCCTGGGGCCGGTACTCAGAGAAGATATAAAAGTCCCAGAATCCACTCCTCCTCTTCTCAGCCTGCAACGGCGACCTCTCTTTATCTTTGTTAAGCTTTTCCTTTAAACTGCAATAAAAACTAATTCCTGCAAACTTGTTTATTTTCTTTGTTTTAAGAAACTATTAGAGATTTTGAGCTTTTGCAAATATTATTCCTGATATTTTTCTGTTGTGACGGTACCAAAGGGTACGTTTTAGTTTCTATTTATTACAAATCTCAGTTTAATGTGTTTCATCTTATATAATACAAACATACTTAACACTTAAACATATCCAAAAGGGAAATCCCTTAACAAAAGAAAATCAGTTTAACTCAAGGGATCCCACACATACAAATAACAAATGGTTATTCAGTGCATTATTGCACATTTATACCCTCATCTGATACAGGTTCATGTTGTAGTGGACATATTGTTGTTTTACTGTTCAACCTCATCCAGAAGGATTTTTAATTTCTCAGTTTGGTGAATTGAAAATGTAAACAGTAGACATCATTTTATTCAAAGATATGACGGGAGCGCTGATTACTCAGAGGTTAGTTTATAATTTATATTTGTGTTATTTTCCATGTTAATACTTGCGACTGATTAGAGAAACATATCACGATCACTGAGAGGAATGTGATTGTGGGGGTTAGAGACAGGTCAGCAGGGACTTCATCATCTGGTCTGATTGTAACCTTTTATGTTTATGATGTCACCATTAGGGTTTGGTTTTGAAGTTCTTGTTATGTTGAACCATAAAAACATTCTAAGTTTTATTTTTGCAATGATTGAGAATTTTAAAGACATTATGTGTCCCAATCAGCCTTTAATCACAGCCATATGAGTCAGTACAGGATGCTTTAAAATAATGCTATCTATCTGTGACCGTACTGTATCTCTTTAATATTAATGTTAATTTATCACAGAAACAGCAGCTGGAGTGGGTGGTTAGATGCTGAGTTAGTTAAGATGGGTTCTAGTGCCCTCTTGTGGTTTACTCTCCACATGAGCACGGCGTCACTCAAACTCCTGAGACTTGTATAAAAACTCTTATATGTCTTAGTTTTATTAATTTGTAGTCAACTCCTGATCATCCAGTTTCTTCTACAGTTTCCACTCATGTATCTTTAACTATTTTGTCATCTTGATTCCACGGCAAAGGAAAATCATGAACTTTGTATTCTTCATATTTCCAGAATCAATTGAAGCTATTAGTAAATGTTTACTTAAGAGACATATATTTATGACTACTTTTCACTAAAAGCATGGCTATACTTTAAATCTACGTGTAACTATAGCCCCTTAACCTTCTAACTGAGCATGACATTACTGGTATCATTTAGAACCTTTGACGCAGAACTTTTTTAACTACCAATAATTTGGATTGCTTTTATTTTGAGGTGTTTTACTTTTCCTGCAAACATTTTGATTTTAATTTAATTTTACATAATGTTTTAATCCCTGAGGGATATTCTGGTTTACACTATTCTGGTTATTGAGAGACATGCTTCTCACAGGCCCGAAATACACACATGCACAAACGAGACCTGTGGACATGCATTAGTTCAGAGATTTCAGAGTGGGGCTGCTTCACAGGGAGCGCACCAGAGCTGTTGGGGGTTCAGTGCCTTGCTCAAGGGCACCTCGACAGTACCGAGGGAGTGCCCTGGCATCTCTCCAGCTATCAGGCCAACTTCCATATTTTGGTCCGCAACCGGACATAAACCAGAGACCCTCCAATTCCCAACCCGAGTCCCAACAGAATGAGCTCCTGCCACTTTTGTGGACAAAGTAAGATTTTCATAACTCAACAATTGGCATAAATATATATGAAATATTTTACTGTACAAATGGGATGTTTGTGCTTACAAACCAAGTTCATATTGTATTATAACCACAATAAATTCAAGCCAAATGAAAGCAAATGAAAATGTATGAAGAAATGTAGTTCTGAAGTTGTGTGGTCCTTAATACAGCAGCACAGGAATCACTTTAGAACACTGGAGAAGCATCAGAAACACAAACTCAGTATATTTTAATATCATCTCAACTTGATCATTCTTCCACATCACTGTAAAAGCAAATAAATATCACAGTCAAAACCAAAAATGTCCTCAGATTCATATAATTCCACAGTTAATATACATCTGGAAATAAGTTCTCCCACTGTAAATGAATGATATCAGTAGGCATTCCTGCTTTAGCTTCCTGCTCTGGTTGTTCATCCACATTGTGTCCATGCTCATGTCCCATCAGGAGCTGCTCCAGAGAAAGGCCTTGTTGTCCAGCACACTGGCCAGTTTCTGGTTTAAAGGCTGGTGAAATTCCCTGAGGAGGTCTCTGGTTGCTGGACGCATCGGGCCCAGGTTTCTGTCGGCCGCCCGCCGGGTGTTAGACATGGCCGTTTGGTCAGTGCTGCCTCCAGCTGCTCCGACAGAGGACCTGCAGGAGGGGGAGGTTGATTTTACCTTTAAAACTGACATGAAGGCCAAAGAAAGGAATAACCACACAAAGACACGGCCAAACAGATATCAATAGTGTTTTTAGATACGTACCTAAACTGAGAAAATCAAAGACTTGCTTTATTGTCACTTTCAGGTTAGCTGCGTAGTCCTCAAGTCGGAGAACAAGAATCTGCTCCCTTTGGAAAACTGTCAGCCAGTCCAGTAAGAAGATGATGTACATCCCCAAGTTTAGCCTTACCTGTGTGGAAAAATAATAAACACACACAAGACGTCCTGATAGTGAGTGAGTGAATATATTTTTTAAAGGATAATAATGGCCTAACAAACATATTAACCAAAAGAAAGGAAGGTATTGCACAATAATTGTCTGTAAATGCAAATCCTGCTGACCCACATTGTTGCCCAGGGTGATACTTGAGTTCATTTGCAGTCAACACTCTAACGTTGAGGTAAAAGAGATGCTAAAAAACATGTGTGTGCTCTCCTTCAGTGTAATGGCAGAACAAATATTTATAGAAGCTCATTACCTGCATAAAAAAAAAAGTTGTGCTTTTTTTGTTTAAGCAAGTGCACGGTCAAAAGTGTTAAAAAAACATAACTAATAAAATTAATAGAATAATTGCTTAGATTTATAAAGCGCCTTTCAAGGGAACCCTGTACACTTTACATGAGAACAAAACGATGAACATACAAAGAGAAGATACAACAATGGTAAATAGATAGAAGAAATAAAGAGTGGTAGTGATGTTTGCAGGGGATAAGTGTCAGCCATACTGTTTTTTTTTTTCAATAACAGAAATCATAAGTTAAGACAAAACAACAAGAAACATTTGTGTGAAGAAAAAGTTATGTAACCCTGATTTTATAGCCATTTGGGGACATTTCTGTTTGAATCCATCATGAGCAAAGTGTTTCAACTGCAGTTTCCTTAATGGTGAAATAATTATCAGTTTTAATCCAGATGCACTGACATGTTATGTCCTCAGGGGGGCAGCAATGTCTAACACCACCAGCTAACACTAATCTATTGAACCTGTGTTCACAACCTCCTCAAACTTCAACAGACTTGAAAGTGAAAACCTTCATCACATCTATAATCACACATCACATCTGTTATTTGAGATGGGTTGTGTTCAATCAATCAATCAATCAATTTTTATTTGTATAGCGTCAACTCATAACAAGTGTTATCTCGAGACACTTTACAAAAAGCAGGTAAAATACCTTTCTCTTTGTCTTTTAACATTACAAAAGAGCAGGTAAAAAGACCATACTCATTGTTATGTTACAAAAAGCAGGTAAAATACCTGTTCCTGTTCCAGTTGCTCACTTTTGATACTTGAGGTTTTGCTGTTGTACTGAATATCAGCACTCTAAGACCGAATCAAAGCCGTGCTCATATTAAAGTACAACAGCACTGCCACCTCCCATGTGTTATTGCTTTGACAACCCCTTTAAAGGTAGGAGGAAGTTCTAAAAGAAGAAGTTAGATATCTGTTGTTACATTTACTCATTTTAACTAATAATCCTTCAAATGTAAGACGACCATGTCAGCCTACCGGCATTGCGTTGGACAGGCTGGTGTTGTAGACGCAGGACCGAAGCGTCCCCTCAGACAAACAGGACTGAAATAAGTGAACAGAGTCGATGACCTTCTGATGGAAGTCTTCTGCTGATTTGTTGGCCATCTTAAAGTACAGGTAGTCAGAATAGAGCCTGGGAAGAGACAGAAACAGTCAGTTGGAACTATTACAAGGTATGTTGCTGGATGTTATATCAAGTCACTCCATGATTTCATTTACTACTGTACCTCTCTACTGGATCTCTCAGCATGATGATGATTTTGGCACCAGGCTGAACTGTGTGGATGAAATCCTGGACCAAGAACGGAGGCTCTGCCACCTCCTTCTCTCCGTCAAGATAGCTCCACGCTTGGTTGTCCCACATAGTCGATGCACTGGCTTCACCTGTCAAGACATTCACAATCACAGCGACACCATGGGTGACTACTTTAATGGAGGGAGTCGTGCAGACAGTTAGGAAAAATGAGCCACAATACAAACACCTTTATGAACTTTATACATAATGCCTCTCTGGAAATTGTTTGCCTGCAGAGCTGCAAAATATTTTGATTAGAAAATGAACTTTAACATTTTATTGGTGACCATGCAAAATTCAAATACGTGAGGTTACTTTTGTCTCCATAAAAGCAGCAAAGTAAGCTTCATCGCCCTGTCCAGACATTAAAGCTTACTTACAAGACCAGGATACTTTTAATACATAAGATTCATACACAAATGTTTCTTTAATTCATCATTTATTGCATGATGATTTGCTTTCATAGGGCGGCAAGGTTTCGGTCAACTTTGTTTTTAACCTCAGAGATACACACAGAACAAGAAAAGTCAGATGTGATGGCAAACAGAGGCATTTGAGGTTCCTTGTTTACTTTTAAATGCCGCTGTAGTTGTCCTGAGGTCAGAGCCACTTGACTAACAGCATAACAATAAAGGATAAAAGAGAGCTGGATTTTGAATCATAGTCAGGATTCCATTGTCCAGCTGTTCATAGGAACCTCACAAAACACTGCGCATAAAAGCAAAAGGAAGAGAGATTCTTCCATGTGACGCACAATGGACGCTAACAATACCAAATCCTTTACGCAGCCACATCAAACAAACACTTTCACATGTGCTCACCTGTTATGAGCTGGAGTGCTCGGTGGTCTCCAGATGAATTTCCACTGATTACTTCTTGGAGTTTGTGGGCTGCCAAGTCAAACAGATCCAGGTAATCTTCCACAGGAAAATTTTCCTGGAAGCCATCTTTGAAACGTATATAACCTGCACCCGGAGGAACACCCAAAGACAACTCATTATTAACTCTTCTATCGACTTCTGCGCCATTAAAGTCATTTATTGGGTTTCTAAGCTTGAATCTGGTTGAGCAGTTTCAACAAAAAAATACTGTAGTCTTTTGCAGGCAAACATGCGGACAACAAACACATGGTGCAAGATAGCACAATACATCATTTTTCTTTTTGGACAACAACTATTGGTGCTGTTGATTAAAGCACTTCCTGCAAGAGGATGATAATTAATAAAGCATTTGATTATCATGTACTGCACTAGTTTGTCTCCAGATTTGGACATTCACATAAAATTTGATAAAAATTGAAAGAGAAGTCTAGCAGGGGAAAAAACTGACCCAGAGACAAATGAAATATGGACATATCAATATATAGACTTTTCACTGTCTGGAGATTTCACATCCCCAAACCCTAAAGATCCCTGTTAACAGACACTTGAACTTTTTTCAATTAAATTGTCCAGGATTGTTTTAGCTTGAAGTAAAACTTTAAAAATTGATGAGCAACAGAGATGCTGCGATTAGTTTTCTTTTGTTCCAGTAATTAGTTAATAAATAAATAGAAGGGGCTCTTTTCAATATCAGAGTATGTTCATCCACCTGTTCATTTTCTTTGGATTGAGAAACTCATTTATATCTGTCAATCATCAAGTTTCCCCAAACTTTTTCCTCAACCATTACAAACGTTAAGAAACACCATCCAACACCTGGTGACTCACCAAAGCGTTTCCTGGTCCACCAGTGAGGCTCCTTCATGGTGTTGAACTTGACCTCTGGATGCAGCAGCAGCCTGTGGAACAAGTCGGTCGTTCCGCACTTTGGTTGGCCGATGATGTAAAAGAACGGCAGGCAACGTAGACGAAACAGTTTGCCGTCTCTGTGGTGTAAGTGCTGTTGAAAGTTTGTCCTCAGGTGGTCGCAGATGGTTTTGAAGCTCTTTGAGCGCAGGGTGAAGAGGTTCCTCCTGTATGGATCAGAGCTGAGTTCACCCGAAAACTCCTCGTACCAGCAAGGGCTTTTCATGTTGGGAAGGAAATGGCGAGGAATCACAGAGAACAGCTGCAAAAAAAAAAAAAGAACACAGACAACATGAAGCAATATAGAGGGGGGACAGAATGACAGAAAAAAATGTATAGGGCAGCACAGGCCTCTGGAACGTTGTGATGACAATGACGAATTATCTTTTGTTGTTAGTTTGTGATGTGAGTACAGCGGAAGTCCTTCTGCAATGTGCACTGTGAACATACAGCATCTGGAGCTGGAAATAGAGTGAAAGAATATGCAAGGTTCTACTTTCACAGAGAACAGCTGCAACTTTACATGATACATACTAGATGGTTGCAAATTCTAATGACATATAAATGATCTCAAGATCTATTTTAGGGGCTTCTTATTCCTTTTATTTTAGAGATAGGACAGTGGATTGAGTCAGAAACAGGGGCGAAAGAGAGAGTGGGGAATATGTGCTGGACAGGAGATACAGGTCAGATTTGAACCCGCGATGCCTGCCCTCGAGGACTTGAGCCTCTGTACATGGGGGGCGCGCAATAACAGTCAAGCTACTGACGCGGTGCCCCAACATGAAAAGTATTAGAACATCTATACTGGGGCACATGACATTATTTTTTTAACTTAGCAACTAATACATCCCCACATACAATTTTGGCCACTTTCTACAGATGTCAGTGGAATGATGTTGCTTAATAACCTGCATGGCTGCAGCTCAGAGAAAGAGATGGTTATCTATTAGAAGAGATTGGTGGTGTAGCTTTTGTGTATGCATTTGCATGAATGTTAACTGAAATAAGACCCCTTTTATTTTGCTGGAGCCTGACCGATTAATCGGCCAGCTGCTAATGTCTTTGGTGCAGCAGTGTAGGAATGCGTGAGAGGCTGAATGCTTTCTGGAACCCATCACCTAAAGTCTGACAACAATTTGACTTCTGGGACCAACGGCAAACTTCTTAGGGCTTCCGTAGTATCGAACAGTTAGATAAATGACTTCCTACCAAGACTTCCTTTTCTCAGAATTTGTAAATCCAGATAAGCGTTAGTGTGACATGTAGTGTACAGCTCTTTTTTCCTTTTTACCATTCATATTTTTAACACACACCACTAATGGATATTCACCTTACTGAGCTCATGGTGCCGCATCTGTAATTATAGAATTTAAAGTAAAACGGTCAGAACCATCAGGTGTGTAACTCTTCAAAATGACATTGGGTAAGGTAAAGATGACAACAAACACCAACCACAAGAATATTTAGTACATTATCAAATTGTAAGAGCAGTCAGTAGGGCCTTAACAACACATAGCAAGACATGTAACCTGCTATTAACTGATCAGCCTTACAAACATGGTGTTGAATCATCGCCTATGTCAGCCTCTATACAAACACCAGTTATTATGAGCTTCAGTAAACAGGCATTTACTGTAGCTGTGCCAGTAATGAGTTTGTTGTTTGTCAGCTTCTACAAATCCCTTTTGTCATAAAAAATATATAGGAACCATAATGGTCATTTGCAACCCTGTTTTTGTTATTGCTGGGTCAAAACATTGCATTATTGCAGCCTGAAAGTGTAACAACAACAACCTATATCTTTGCTGGTCAATTGATGTACATAAAAAATGAGTGTCTTTGTTTTTTCAAAGACTTACATGGGAGTCTCTTTCAATGACATCCTTTTCATCCGGCACCTTCCTGGGTGTGTATTCCAGTTTGGAGCGGATGCTCTTCACCAGCAGTTTTATGTCCTTTGAGGTGTTTTCAGAGGAAACGTCAGCGACTGCCGTGCATGTCGGAACGAACACAGGTCTGATCTGGTCGGGTGAGGGGGTCAACAGAAGTCCTTTCTTGTCCCATGTCAGGGTGTAGGAAGCCATGATGAGGAACATCAGCGTCAGGCCCATCAGGAAGCTCACCACTTTGACTTTTGAGATGCTCCGCAGGTTAGTCAGCAACACCAGAGGAGACCACTTTGTATCGAGATTTTCAGGCGGGTTAGTGTGCCGAAAGTCAAAAAAAGTTCTGACAGGTCTTTTCCCATAGTTCTCACCAATGAGCAAGGTGTGAATGTGATTATAGTCCGTTTGTGTTATGTTCCTATATTTGTAGTCTGATAGTGACATACTGGAGGCATGTAGAAAAAGGACGCAGGAAACTATTTTTCTGTCAAAGCAGCACCCATAGGAGTGTGTGTGTCCTGATGTGTCCATCCGTCATAGTTTTTCAAACTGCAAGTCATCATTTGTCTTCAGCTAGCTGCCTTGTCTTCAGCAGGGCCTCCTGTGAATGAGAAACAGTTGTTAAAACACGTTACATGTTTTTCTTGTCACCAAAAAAATAAGTTTTTCTCTCCTCTTTGAAGTATTTCAGGCCCATGATTCCAAGAGAGGTGCTGAGAACACTTTTAATATCAGGGTATTTTAGGAAGCTTTATTCCCCATCTGGGGCTTCACTATATGAATTTTAACTCTACAACCCTTAATAGCACATTTCACCTCTAAAATGTTTGAGGTCAGCTGCAGAGTGTGTGTGGCCTGCTCGGTGGAGATCCTCACTTTATGATGAGGGCCTTAAAGCACACGCAAAGACAAGCTCCCCCAAGAGACTCTCAAGGTCAGAATAATAGTTACTCTGTAATTCAAAACCAAAAACACACCATTAACCCCCGTTTGAGAAAAGCCCACTGAGAGCTCTGTTTTGTTAACCTGGAAATAGTATTTTCAAGTTCGAGTTTTCACTCAGAAAACCAAGTTAGGTATTGATACAGGTGGACACTCAGTGTGGCGAGAGCACGCATTTTGTTTTCTTTTACCGCCACATGTATAATAAGAGTCATTATTATTTCAGGTCCAGTGATCAGAATTTCCAGCTTTGTAACTGTGAAACGTTCTATAAACACTCTGACACTTCCTCAGCCAGTAGTGTATTTCTTATCGTTTGTTGCAGAGTGTTTGATTTAAAGTCCCACTGGAGCAGGAAATGATATGCTGCACCAGTCTTTTAGGGAACTACATGAAGCACTCTCTTATTTTACAGCGTTTAATGCACAACAGGGGCCTGTTAAAGAACAAGCACAAAACAAGATGTGTCTCCACAGGCGGCAACTTAAATCTTTAGAGGTGCAATTTACAGAATATGATATCAATAAATGTCCCTTAAGCTCAGATAAGTGAGGCTGCATTACTTGATTTTGTTCCATGAAAAAAAATAAACAAATTCTTCAATAGACATAAAAAAAAAGATTTCAAAAACCATGCAGCCACCCATAGAAGTAACTGGCAGGATGCCAACATAACTCAAAGACAAACCTATCCTACTGCAGCTTTAACTGAGAGCACATTCTTATTTTATTGGACAATGCTGTGAACTAGAGAGGAGTCTAGGGTTGATGTTTTTTTTTAAGAATACTGGATGAGTTGATGGAGAGCATCTCTTGGATAGCGTGGCCTAAACTCAGATTTATTATGGTACCTAACTGTCTCTTTTTTAAAGTACAAGAAGAGTAATTAAATGTGTGCAATAGAGCACAAGAAGAAAACAATGAAATGTTGTCCAGTCAGATTAAAGGGGCCCTGCAGAGATTTTATACATCAAGTTTTGTTATTATAAGGATTGAATAAGTCGAATCATATTATGTAGACTACACCTAATCTCTGCAGTAAAGTTGTAACAGGTGTGTACATTTTTGGTTATTCAAACAAAGTTTTCATCAGTATGGACTTGCTGAATGTATCAGGCTGGCCTCAGCAAGTCCAAGAAAAAAACTCTCAGACAAACGTATAAAGACTGCGTTTATTGACACTGTCTCCTTTTAGAGGAGTTACTGGCCTCATATAATAAATATCAGTATACATACTTTGTTTTTTAAATGCTAATGATGCATATTGTTAAATGAAATCCATCCACAGAAATTGAAGTTGACAGAAGTTTGGGTTAAAGGGATTTTTTTTCCTGTTTCTGCAAGAAATCCTTCTCCTCGCCTCACCTCTAAATGTCTTAAACGTCTATGTTTTATGTTTATAACCCTTTTAATGATGTGAATGTTTGAATCCCTTTCAAGCTCTTTTTTGGAAAAAGCATATCAATGAACACTACTGTTATCCAGTCTTATTTTATTCATGCCTCTGCATATCTATATTTCGACAAATCTCTGTAATTGCTATCCCCTCTGATCTCTGTAACTAGCCATTTTTTTTCTCCCCTTTAAAGATTCATGTGTGGTTCGTGCAAAATTCAAAATGTGGCAGAAAAGAGATCCAGAATGTGACAGAGTACAAAGAGGACAGTGAGAGAGTCAAGGGTAAAGTACAGAGTGGAGAAGTAAAGCAGCGAAGATGAGCAACAGCAGCGTGAGGAAGAGCATGAGAGACAGCTTTTAGACCCCTTCGGTGTAAAAATCGATTCGTGGCAGAAAGCAAACAGCAGGTGGGATCGACTGAGGTGAAAACACATCATCGAAATCCTGCTGACTCAAAATAAAAGGCAGAATCAATTTTAACATCAGATGCTTTTGTTGTCAAAAGAGCACAAATGTCAAGTCTGATCTGTTATGAAAGCCCAAATAGTGCAGGGTTGTTTACACCATGAATCTGTGTATTTAAAATCGGGTAGACTTAAGATTGCATTCTGACATCATTTTCACCCAAGAGAGCTTACACAGTACAGTAAATACAAACAACATATATCTGATATATTACAGGTTCTGCATATCTGTGCAGCTGTTCAGGAGACAGTAATCATATAATATCGTGGGACAGCCAACGATTCCCAGCCCTAATTGAGACGCTTAACCCAGATGCCAAAATGTTCATTCTTTTAGAGATCTAGAGAGTAAAGTTCAGGGGATTGTGGTGTAATTAATATTTATACAAAAGATCATAAAAATAATATTTGCCATTCATAATACAGCTGTTGCGATATTTCAGTTTGGACCCACTGACAGACTGGTAATACCATCAGTGCAACCAACAAGGCTTAAACCCCACAAAGTTATCCTCATATGCAGGCACATTTGTTTTTCTTTTCTGCAGTAAAATGAGATCCAGCTGATAGTGGCGTGTAATGATGCTGATGTTGTTGAGACAGTTGTTCAGTCCGTCAACACAGATCGATATCTGCATGCTGGATTTGAGTTGAATTGGTCTCCAGAGAATAAGTTCTGATCTCTTTGCTAAGCCCCTGACCTTCGCATGAGTGTGCCATGATCAGGCCAAGATTCCCTATTTGTAGAGAAATGTTGAAATTAAATGGCAGACAGCCATGGAATTCAGAGAGCATAGCTATGCTCTCACGGGATTTTCAACACAGAGTATTCCTCTTTCCTCATCTGCAAGGTCAAAATATCAACTTGAAATAATTTGCTGCCTACCGTGAGATGTGGTGAATCAAACCAGGCTGTGTGAGTAAAACCATTTGGTTAAAACCAACTATCGGGTCAAGAACGCAAGAGCTGCAATTATTTTAAACTAAGGTCTCAACTCTCTAAAAAACAACAACTAATATGCTATTTCATCCCAATCTGCTTTTGTTTACATAAACTGTCGAGCCCTGATTTTCTTTTAACCAAAGAACTCCAACTGAACATCAAACCCAGTATGTCTGGACTCCTCTACAGACTAAACCTCTGAGCTCCAGCTAAATGGATAAAATACAAGTTTAAGTAAGATGTTATTGAAACGTTATACTCTTCAGGGAGTAAAATGCTTTACTCTTCAAAAATCAGTGATAAGAACACAAAAATACACCAACTATGAGAATGTTATAAGTTTTGCAGTTCCGGCACCTGATGAGGGCACTAAGTGAAAGACAAGGCAGTTGAAGGGACGATGATGTTTCTCCTCAAGTCAACCAATCGTTGGCACGATATTTTACAGTATAAATGTAAATGTATGTGAATGTATGTGTGTGGAAATCACTTTGATCAACCACTATTCATTGTGTTAGGTACTCTGTATATATGAAAGTGTTAAAAATAGATTCTCGAGGTTATCTCAAAGCAATAATATGTAGCTTTTCAACCTTAAAATATTTGCTTGTAAGTCCGTCTAACAGCGTAATCACGTTCAACAGGAATAATGATGTCTCTCCCAACGTCCGCACAGCAGCTCGCTGCCTCAATACTCCACTATGTAACTTTCTGACCACGGCTCACGCTCATCTCACAAGAGGTACATACTGCTTTACGGCACTAGTTTACAAGTCTTCGGAGTTAGCCGAGACTTTAAATATTAGGAGTAAGCCCGTCTCTGTACTGCTTGATGCAGGCTAAGAGGAAAAGCATGTTGACGGATGAAGCTAGGAATAAAATAAAGAATAAAGAGAGAGTGACCGAAAAAGAGACCGGACTAGAGTAAATATTGGAGAGGCTTTTACACGTTGGAGAGCTTCGGGGAACGATGGGCTGCAAGTCCGATACCGAGCTGGCACTGCTGCTGTTGAACTGGTGAGTAATTTCTTTGCATCATGGTTATCAGTTGTTTCAACACAAACCCATTCAGTGTATATCATATAACTACCAGAATGTCAGAATAACGTTACTGTCCCCTGATGATGAGTTAGCGAGGCATGCTAACCTAATATGTCAGACTTTGACTGATGCACGCGAGAAAAGTTGTCGACACATTAGCGGGTGGTTGAAAGCCAAGTCAGCTCATTTCTGCAGAAGTTTAGCCCGTAGCATGTTAATATAGACAGCATATTGTCCCGGGTTCAGGTTACGATAGTTCCGGCTGCTAATTATCTGAGCAGCGCGTATGCAAAGTTGAAACCAACATTACTAAAAATACTCTGCACAGTTGTATCAAGCAGCATAATGACTTCGAACTTTATTCCAGCTTTCTAAAAAGGCGATCAGTAGCATCTCCAGCAACAAATGCAGCCTACAACCCTGCCAGAGTCTTACAGTCAGACCGCAACAGGTATGTTTTCATGGAGTAACGTTATCTAAAAAAATACTGTCATTGAATGGTAAGATGTAAGATTCTACTTGTCTTTTGATTCGGGAATGATGTGTTTGCTGTCAAAGGTGTTAAGCTACTAAATGAGGAAGAGGAGGAGGCTGATGTCTTGTAATCCAGGCAAATTTTACTTACATCTCAAACACACAAATATATATTTTGCAGATCACCTTCCAGTAATGCCTTCCCAACTTGTATCTAAGAAAGGCTGAGCCCCCCCTCCCAAGGACCCACACAATAATATCAATACATATAATCACAACAATCAAACTATTGGCCCGTGTGCTTAACCTTCCAGTCCTACCTGATTCAGACAAAAGACAT